GTTGCTCAGAGCCCCGTCCAACCTGACCTGGAATGTTTCCAGGGATGGGGCATCCACCACCTCTCTGGGCAACCTGGGCCAGTGTTTCACCACCCTCAGGTGTAAAAAATTCTTCCTTATATCTAGTCTAAATCTACCCCCCTTTAGTTTAAAGCCATTCCCCCTTGTCCTGTCGCAACAGGCCCTGCTAAAAAGTTTGCTGCTTTTAGATTTAGTGAAGAAGTATCATATGTTCAAGTCTCGAGAATTATTTGGAGTCACAATAAGTTTCACAATGAAAAGCGTACTTTGAAAATGAAGAGAGTCGGTTGGTGTGCTGGAGCTCCCTCTGCTGCCCTCTGCTTGCAGCAGGACAGACCGATTATTATTAATGCAGAATTGCATGCAAGCAGTTGAAATCAAATAGATGTAGGTGTTTTTTAACAAAGGATTTTAAAACATAAAGTATTAAGATTCCCAGCTGCTGGAGAGGTGGCACAATATAATCCATGCTGACAGGAATGAATGCTGCTTCAGATCTGAAGTATCAATTTACTACTGCAAATGGAAAAATAAAAAATCAGCAAAGAGGGTCTCATTCTCTTGAAAGTTGTCACATTCATGAGTCATTTGTATATGAATGGAAAAGTTTCAGTAGGAATCAAATCTAATCCAATTGCCAGTTTAATCCCTTTTCTAGCCTATGTTATTCTTGTAGAATATCGTTGGTTAAGACTGAGATGATATTGCTCCTCCTGAACTGTTTGGCTCTGATTCTTTAGGATCTTCTAGTAGACCGCTTAACAAGAAAAGCCTACGAACTACAGGAACAGATTGCTCTGTTTGAAGCTCAGTTTGTGGCCCAGGCAGAGGACACGAAAGTAACTCGGCAAGCAGTAAATGAGGTAGGAGGGTGCTTTTTTCACTTCTGGTTAATAGTTCCCTCTGGAAGGACTGACCGCTTTGGCTCATGCTCGCGTGGTATGTACAATCTAGGCCAGAGCTGTATGGTTCGTTCCTGTTTGCAGGAATGAAGACTTTTTTCTTTTCCCCCCCCTTAAGAATTGCCTGTAAATCACTTCCTGCCCCACCTTCTCAGCATGTTTTTTTTTTCTTGCAGACCTATGCTTTGTGGTCTGGTGTGACAATAAACCAGACACATATTGAAGCATATTATGAACAGAAGAAAAAAACTGCATTGTAACATGAGTTTGGTTTTTCAGCACAGTATAGATTCATCCTGTCTACCAACTCTCTCTTCCCTAGGCTTGTACGGAGGTACAGGCTATTAACATGGAGAAAAAGCGATTGATGAACCACTGGAATAGCAGCTTGGCTGGAATGAAGCAGAGAGATGAGGCCTATATTGCCACACAAGAATTGCTGAGGTATGGTATCTGAAAACGGTCCTAGGAGAGACCTCAAATAATTTGGACAGGAGGGATTTTAAAAGGGGCAGTATGTCTTCTGTCAAGTTTACTACTGTATGTGCAGGACGTGTCAGACAGAACAAGTTTGCTGCTCTAAAGGACATAATAAGGTTAAGGGATAAGAAGTACAGTTCTTTGTTACTATTTTCTTTATCCAAAACACAACTCTCCCTCAGAATGTGTGGGGTTTTTAAAGCTGTTTAGAGTTTTTCTATTCATATTTTATTCCTTTAAAAGAGTTCCTTCACCTTTGCAACATCTCCCAATCCAAAGAGCTAGACAGCAAGAAAGATTTATCTATCACTTTTGGTTAGGATTTTGTGATGCCTCCAGAAATCTTCAGGAAAACCAACCTATTGTTGCCAAAGGAAGTGTTTATTTGGTCTGGAGTCTTAAAGCCTGACTGATTCTCTGAGAACACACAATACGCTTTTATATGGTGGCACCCTGGTAAGAATGGGGGGGTGGGGACAGGACTGAAAGAAAAAATTAATTTTCCTACATACATTTCCTTTTAAATCTTAATGTCTCTACCCATATTCTGGTGGCTCTGTACTGTCACAGCAGACTAGTCTTTATAAAGATCTTCCTCCTTGGTCAGTTGTTGCTGCAATAGCGTGTTTGAAAAGAGGAATTTGTAGATGACCGTTCAGCACATGAATCAATCCCTGTGATGATTTTCCATCCTCTTTGCCTCTCCAGCAAGTACAGACATGACCTCAAGTCCCTAGAAATGGACATCCATGGCTGTAGAAAGTCGATCAGGAAGGAGGAGGAGAAGAATGAGTCGCTTATCACCATCCTGAGCCGTTCACAGAACGATGCCAGCACGACAAAGAAACTGATTGCCCAGTGCCTTTCAAGGCAGGAGGCCTTGAAGGTTGAGTCTGGCACCTATACTCGCATTCTCCATGAGACAGAGCAGGCCCTCAACAGGACCAAGATGGTGAGAAGAGTTACTTGGAAGAAGAATCCTTTTGAATTGGACACAGGTATTTAATCCCCTTCCCCAAACAGTTGTAGTGATCCTGTCTCTGTCTTCCCTACCTTTTAGGATCAAGCTGCTCGTCTGAATGAATTGCTGTCCGTCAGTAAGGATATAGAGAAAGGGACTGATGCCAAAGAGCAGATGGAGAATGAAATCATGGCAAAGCTTCAGGACCAGATGATGTCCAGCAAAGTCACAAAGCACTTCTCACAGCTGGTTGCAAAACTTCATAGGAGAAAAACCGATCTGGTATGGTCTCTATTCTGTCTGGGAGGGCAGGGGAAGGAAACAGCCTAAAGCAGTGTTTCTCAAGTGTGTTTTGTCAGTGTCTCCATTTTGGTTTTCAGGTCTGCAATTGAAGCTCTGCTGGGTTTGCAACTTCAATTTAGTTCTTCCAGTGATCTTATTGCAGGATTCTTGTGTACGTGAGAGAGTTTGGCCAAAAAGGCCTGACACATAACATACTATTCTTTCTGTTCTTAAAAAATGGGGCAGAATGATGAATCCTGGAAGTGTTTACTATAAAGTGGTTCAAGTTCCTATGTATTGCAGGAAGACAGTGGATATGTGGTACTTCTATACTCCACATTAAACTAACTTACATCTCTATATTGCATCGCGGGATGTGATACAGGCATACTCTCAGTTTCCAAATAAGGATTACAGTCCAAGGAACAGTCAAACTGGACTCACAGTTCTTCATGGAATGATAAGTTGCTCTCTTTGGGAGTGTGTAACTGGTACAGATAGGAAAAACTAGAAGATTCAGCATAGTATTTATCCTATTGTGTGGGCTGGCACTAACACAACACGCTCACACCTCTGTATTTCCATGGGTTACTTCAGCCTGCCCCTGGGTTTCTTAAATCAGGTGCATATCTTAAGTAACTAGAAGACTTCCAGGGTTGGCTTTCATTGTGAGAAAGGCCCCTCCACCCCCCTTTCCAACAGATACACAAACAAGTGGATACTCTGCATTGACTCCTATTAGCATCTGTGTTGCACAGTAGAATATAGTGCAGAGACTATGAACTTGGAAAAGACCAAATTGCAACCTCTCGCAGTGTGGTCCAGGCTGCGCAGAAGTAGCAGACGGGCTCTTGAATGTTACCTGGCTGCATTCATACTGCACTCAAACAAAAGGCATACCCACACTTTCTGGCTAGTACAGTCGTCGTTAGGTGAGGGATGCGTTTGTCAGGCATGGTGGAGAAGGTACAATATAGTAATGTCCTACTACTGTTAACCAGGTAACTAGAGACATCTGGGCAGGGAAGATAATTGCAGAAGTGATGAGTGTGGTCTCTTAAAGGGTTTTGGGATGTTTAGGCTCCTTAATGCTTTTCAACAGCCTTATGGCAGAGGTAAATATTGCTATCTCCTGTCAATAGATGGAGAAACAAAGGTACAGAGAGGGTAAGTAGCTTGCTTACGGCTTGTAGCACAGACCTGGGAGTAGAATCTAAATCCCCTGATTCCTGTGCTTTGATAAGTAGGCATTACAAATCAATGAGTTGCTGTTGGTGGCAGTAATTTGTTTCCTGTCTGTTGATATTCCTAGGAGCTGCATTTTTCCAAGGTTGAGAATGATATGGCCCAGGTTATTCTGAATGCAACTCATACCAACTGCAGGCTGACAATTCTCCAAAAAACACTTTGTGAGCTGGACAAGGAAATAAAAAATATCCATGATCTGATCAGCTGCAGGGAAAGTGAGATTGTGAAGTGCAGTCTCCTGATTGAGAACAAGCAAGGGGTCATCAGCCAGTACAACAAGAGGTTGGAGATGATTCTTTCTCAGCAGGGGGTATGTACGTTTACGTTTCAATCCCAAACTTGATTTTATTCTTTGTGGTGACCACAGATGCCCTTGATAGATGTAACTGCATAAGTGCTGGATAGTTAAAACTTTTAGGCATCAGTATTGTGATTTAAAAGCTGCACTAGTTAATGTACATGTTTACATTTGTCAGACAGTTCTTAATGCATGCGAAGAGGAGCTGGCATTAGGGAATTGTGAAATGAGGGTGTGTCTAGCCTGGATTTCTGCAGGGAGTTGTCTACACCTGATGAAAATGTTGAATGACATCAATGCTCTGGGAGTAAATAGGATCTCATTATAAAATCTGCGAAGGCTGACAAGGGGAGAATGGAACAGGCGGAGTGACTTAAGTCGCTTGATGGTTGTCCCCGTTCAGATGATGCCCAGATCTGTCCCTAGCACTGTGAGCTGTAAGACCTTTATGGATACCAATGCAAAAATGATTACTGTGGCATATGCTTCGTAAACTTTTGAATGTCCAGATGTGCCTGTTGTGAGAACTTAGGAGGCCCTCTCGCCACAGAGTCTGAGAACCTTTTGGGCTTCTGTTGCATTTATTCCTGTGAGGTCAGGAGTTATTAGTCCCATCCAACTCATGGGAAATGGAGGCAGAAGGTAACTAACTGACAAAATAACAGTATAGTTGAAGTATTTAGTAGGCATCTCAGCAGTTGGACCGGCCTTCTGCAATGATGCTATAAACAAGTGGTCCAGCAGCTTCCGCCTGATTAATCTCAAACTTTGCCCTCGTACAGGGGCAAGAATTGGGACCACTGGAAATTGAGATCAACAAGCTGACCAAGCAGATAGAAGAATATAATTCTGAGGTGATGACACTACAGAAGTACTGGCTCAATCTGCAGAAAGAGCTGGTGAAGTTAACACACGAACGAGAGGAACAAATAGCCTCCTTGGATATGTTAAAGAAACAGATCACAATAATGCAGCAGAAGAAAGTACGCACTGAAAGTAAGTCATTCCCCAATTCTTTCTTAAAATGTTCATCCATGAATGGACAAAAAAAGGAGCGAATGCTTACAGACAGGTAATGCTAGACCTTCACCAAAGAATGCCCTCAGTGCTCCTATATATGTGTGAACAATAATGCAAATGACCCCAGTACTATTCTCGGGGGCTGAGAGCCAGGCACCTTCTGCTGTTTTGCATGTCGTTATTTCCTATAACAATTGATCCTGCTGTCTTAACTGACACAGTCGAACCCTAAGTGACCATGTCACGTGTTACACTTCTTAAATAAAGTTTGCAAGTAGTTGGTAGGTAAGTGTCCCCACCAATGATAGCACTTTCCTTGGCCAAACCCAGCTCTTTTCCACAGTAGTCTCCTTCAAAACCTTATTTGATTTTTGGGCTTGATGAAAAAGGTTTTGGCTGGGTATGTGGGACACAGGTGGCTCCGCATGCAGTGTTGTCTGGCCTAGTAGCAGTTTGTCACACCTTGCTTGCATTCAACCCAGTGCTCCTGGGAATTTTAAGACTTTCTTCTGTTCACTTGTAGATGAAATTCAGCAGGAAACAAAAGAACAGAAAGACATCGAACGTCACATGAGAAACATGTCAAATGACTTGATAAAGTTGAATGTGTTGATCAACAAGAACAACAACAGTTTTGAGGAGCTGCAATATGGCAACATTATCACAGAGAACGAGTTTGTACGCTCTCTCAAGGTACAGAGGCTTGACATCTCATTTCCAGGTCTCAACCTCCCATGCAGTTCAGAGGCAAACGGTGATCCTGTAAATTTTTCTCAGTCTGACAATGTTGTATTGGTTTATGCTTCTCAACTCTAGGCAGCAGAAAAAGAATCAGTTGAGATGCAGGAGAAGCACAGTCAATTGACCGAGGAGAAGGAAAGACTCCTGAACAGCCTGGTGGAAGCAGAGTAGGTACCAGAGAGGTTCTTTGCTTTGTGCCACAGTCTTTGAACTTTCGTGTGTGTGTCCATGTTACCTTTCTTCTCCAGTCATCAAACTGAACCAGCAACAGCAAATGTGCTTCTGTCCTTGCGGAAGATGAAAGGAGTTTAATGAATTTTTGAAACGCAGAAACTGAAAGGTGCCTTAGCCGTCTCTGGAACCAGCAAGAGCTGAGAGGATGTTGGCTTTAACGATTCCAGCATGCTTGTGCTGGATGTTGCCGAGATCTGTATGGGAAGACTCTGCATGCTATCTCCTCTGCCAGTAACTCAGAGCGAATGTGCTGCACTGGACAATTAATTGGCATCCTTCAGCCCCCTGTCAGTCTGGGCTTACTTGTTTTTACAGTCATCATGCCATTTTCTAAATTGCAGGGCTTCCTCTCTGATTTCATGCTGCTCTGTTGCTGCCCTTTTATATATCCTGTATGGAAATTCTTAGTTTCTGCCAAACCATTCAGCTCTGTGTTCAGAATCGATCTTGGGAGTGTGCTGCCACTGATGCACAGGGAGAGCATCTTCTCTGTTGTTTACAAAGGCACTCTTTCCCTTTCTGTCATTGAAGGCATCAAATCATGCTATGGGAGAAAAAGATCCAGCTGACAAGAGAGATGCGTGCAGCGGTGGATTCTGAGACAGGACAAGGCGAAATCCAAGCCATGAGAACAGAGATTCATAGGATGCAAGTAAGCCACAGGGAAAGAGGACTGAGGAGGGGAAGCTGCACACAACGTATTCAGCTGTGGAGCTGCTGAAACATAAGGCAGGAGATGAGAAACAGGCTGGAGAAGTAGCATCTTCAAGGCCATAGCGGTATTGGAAATCTTACCGCCCTGCAGCTAGACTGAATTGAATACGTCCAGCATGCATGCACTTTATGCGTTCCTTGTGCATGCTACGTAATAGGCTGCAGCAGAATCTAGATACACCTGAGAAATCTATTTAAAGTGTAACATGTCTGCCACCTTATTCTGTGACCCCAATTTATAAGCAAAGAAATGTTGATTACTAAATATTGCATCATCTTAATCACTGGTTAGGGAAGTCTTCTATTTTCTGGCAAAGCAACTCTTCTCTTTCATTCTCGGGATACTTCTGCTCTTCTGCTTTTGCTATTGCTAATGAGTTCCAGTGAAACATTTTGAAGATTACTTTAGACAAATTGATAATCCAGCCCTCTGCCTTCCAGATCCACACAGGGAAAACTACGTTTGGATTTAGGGCAAATTTGGCTTGCCGAGGCTTACGTGTCACGTGTCTCTGGTTTATGTTGATGGGGTGCGCCACACAAAAGACTTCAGTTAGGTGCCGTTTGTAACCATTTGTTATTTTCAGCCTATTTTATATCTTGACAAATGGCAGGTCCGCTATGGCCGGCTGATGAAGCAGCAGGAGAAGATGATTCGTGATATGGAGGCATCTGTTTCTCGTAGAGAGGCGATAGCGATTCGTGGAGAGGGTCAGAACAAAACAGATAAGAAACATATCACCAAGAGCGACTTCCACCGCAGGAAACAGGAGCTGAGAAAGAAGATAAGCGAAACCCAGAAGGTGAGCAAGTAAAGCAGGGCTGCAGGAGTTCACGTAGCCTGTATTTGCCTTGTAACGAGCATCAGTGCGCACTTAGCACAGGCACATGGGGTGTCAGTACACAGACCCTGCACGGGTACAGCACTGCACAGGGGGCAGGCTTTAGAAACTCATTTAAAAAAAACAAAAACAACAGAAGAGTTCTGGGAAGATGGCCGGGAATGCAGGTGAACTAAAGAACCAGAATCTGCCATTTCCTTCTCTTCCATTTACTAGAATGCTCAAGATTGCAACAAAACTATCCTGGAGCTGGAGAGCACCCAAGCCTCCCTTAGTGCCACCTTCTTGGAAAAGCAGCAAGAATTGTGCAGACTGCAGGCTGAGTCCGATGGCCTCCGTTCAGACGCAGAATGTCTCCGGAACAAGAAACGATGGGTGAGCACATCCGCTTCCTTGCAGCAGGCGAGCCAAAACCAGAACCTGCTGCGTTCTTCTGTTGCCAGCTCCCTGTCTCTTTGTCTTGCCACCATCTCAAACTGGGCGTGCTTGGCATGTAATTTTTAGCAACACTTTAAGTTAACTGAGCACGTTTTGAGGGCTCATAGTGGTCCTGAGTTGATGCTGCAGTTGCACCCTTAGTGAGGCAGCATTCACCTGGAAACGTCAGCCTGAAGGACATCGTTTGTGTCTTGAAAATACCTAGTAACAACTATCCTTTGTGAGTGTTAGCTGGCTACTCACATTACAAATTTGAGAGCCAGCTCAAGGTCTTGAATGACCTCCTATGAAGTTTTTAAGTTGGTGAAACTCTGTCCTGGCAAGGGTTGCCTTGCATGCGCGGGTATTTCTCTGATTTATGGAATTCTGTGACATGACGGTACCTCTACAGCACTCAGAATGGGGATGCTGTTTGGGTGTTATAATGGGGACTTCATAGCAGTATCCTCCTTAAGGAGCCCTTCAAAATATGATGGTTACAGTACCTGTGACACGAATCACGTCATTTTCTTAGTTCTTTTCTCTGTGTAGTCTGCTGTCAAAGCAATTTCCGCTGTTGCTTTTCTCAGAACCTTTTGGAGATTGTGGCCTACCAGACACGCCAGAAGCATCTGCAGGCGCTGAGGGAAGGGAAGTACACTCCCCTGTACCGCACTGAACAAGCCTGGAGAAACGAGCAGCAGAAACTGCAGGACCGGCTCCGTACCATTAACGCCGTTGTCCACCAGATCCAGCAAGAACATCCTCAGCACCAAAGGGCTCTCCAGTGGCTCAGTCAGTGCTTGGAATCCAGGCTCGGCTCGCAGGAAGGCTGACAGGGACGTGGACAAAATACATATAACCATCTGTTCTTCTAGAGGCTGCAGGCTTTGTAAGTGAATAACTAAAATAAACATGTGTAAGGTGTAATATTTATTAAAGATGTAGCATTGTAAATTTTTTTTTCTTCCTTTTTACATTTCTCCTTCGCTGCAGAAGGCAGGCTCATCAGTTTCCCTGCCCCTGCTGACCTGGCCTGGCCCTAGGGGTTTAGAGTCCGGCTGCAGCCTTGACTTTCAGGCCGGAGGGGCCGCCCGGGCCCCGCTCTCCCACCGGCTTTTGCTTAAGCTCCGGCCAGCAGCAGCACTCGAGCGGCGGCGGGGCAGGTTGCGGGGGCCGGGGCGGCCCCGGGAAGAGGAAGGCGCCCGCTCGGAGCCGCGGCCGGGGCGGTGCTCGGGGCCGG